ACAATTCCTCCTATTGTGCCACATACCATTGCATATGGAACATCTAACAAATTTGCGCTCTAATGGGACATGATACGATAGTCCTGATTCATCTTCCTCTCTCCTTTTACTGATTAGAGGTCTACCTGGTTTTCTTTCACTGTCGAAGGTCTAACTGGAATTTAATCAATAGGTGACCAATATTTCTCACCAAGTAGGGCATGTACAAAGTGGTTGTATACTTTGATAAACGTGTCATTATGAAAGGCTTTGCTAGAGTTCCTCTACTTTGCTCCAAGTATAAGTTAGCACTGCAAGAGCATGAGCACAAGGGATGCCACTAATGTCCAAAATCCTATATGTGCATGTCTTGGCATCCATCTTTGTGACATTCTTTACTAAATCATTCCTTGAGGTCTGATACTCATATTGCTTGGACTAGAAAAATCTCACTGATTTGCAAATACAATATACAATTAGTATCATGTACAATGAATTATACAACAAAGCACAACAAAGGTGGAACAAATGAACATGTCATCATTACCTAGCTTCTCTCCTATCAATTGTGGACTATACCTTTGGCAGTAGCTCACCCCCTATGATCTAGTAGTGACAAACCTCTTGAATATCTTCTGCATCCATCTCTTCCTTATGTCCTCCAACATGGTAAAAATTGGCATTGCTCTAGCCTCCCTTATCCATGAGTTAAATGACTCACTCCAGTTGTTAATGGTGTCACATTACTTAACAATGGAATCAAACCCATGTCTAGACCATGTGCCAGGGGGGACTTTGCATGGTCAATCTTAAGCCTCTCTGGAGCTTCTCTTCACTACTTCCATATGGTGATTAAAGTCAACCTATGTGTTGGACTTCTCGGCAACCCATACAACATATTCCAATGCCTTTCCCTTATATGTTTTCTTGAAGTTTCTATATAGGTGCCACAAACAGAAGCGGTAGTTTGCCCTGGCATGCATTCTGAAACACCATCAATTATACCCTACCAATAATTAATGGGTTTGTCAGGGATCAATATATACACAGTATAATAATATAACAAATATAATCAAATTACAACATACATACACACCTTCTGACTGTTAGACATAATTGTCCATCTATGTGGGTCATTAATACTCAAAGCATCTTTCAGCTCATTCAAAAACCACATCTACCTCTCCTTGTTCTCAGCCTCTACTACAAAATAAGTAATTGGGAATATACCATTACAAGGTTCAAAGTATCGATACGTATCGGCCCATATTGATCGATATGTATCATATTGGGAGCTTCCCAATATGCCCCTACAAAGGGTGTATTGGAGTTTTGACCAATTCAGGGGGTGGATGGACCTTAAACCGACCCCTTTGAACTGAATTTGAAAAAAAAAAAAACTACTGATAACCTTGTACCATTATTCCTATCAAGTTCTACAATTGATAGACCCCTCCGATAGGACCAGCCTTCGTGTAGCAACCATCTAATCCAACAAGTTTTCTACAACCATCTAGGAAACCAAGTTTTGGTCCTCCAAGGCATATGAACACTCTCTTGAAAGTTCCAAACTTGTTATTTATTGTAGCCATCAGAGCATGCAACTTAACAATTGACCCAGAGTTGCTGTAGAATAATGTTGTGCAATATTGGGGCAGCTTTGCATATGATTTAGCCAAAGATCCCCTAATCCTATTGATAGCTTTGATACGAGCTCTATGGACCTTCTTCCATGAAGATTCTATCCCATAGAGTTGTCTGATCTTAGATTTAAGTACAAGGACTAACATGCTAGGATCAACCCTTAAAAGACCCTCTATCTTGGTGAACAAATAGGTATTTGTTGCCTCCCTATTTGTGGTCACCCTTATACAAATATGTGTCATTTAGGGTTTTCACTATGAAACTACCCCCGTCATGACTGATGAGTGCATGTATCCTCCAGCTACATGAGCTATTGGCACAAACACCGGTAAACCTGCATTTCTCATTCTTCTTTCTTTGGATTTCAATACCCTCTACCATACAATATTGCTGCAAAGCCTTCCTAAACTCATTAACATTTGCAAATACCATGCTGACTAGGAATTTTGGCTTAGAGAAGTAAAATTCACATAAGCCTTGTGTGTTATCCTTGCCCCTTCTGAAACTAGATTCATCATTATCACACGGACTATCAAAGTCACTTGTTAATTCATAGTTTGATAGGTTAGTTGTAACCCCATTCCCACCTCTGTTTCCTTCTCATCCATAGATGTACCACATTGTACACCATCACCTTGCCTCCATCCATTTCCTACATCATGGAAACACAAAATTCAGCCATTTGACATATCAGATGCCAAAACAAGTACATAAAATATACAAGCATTCAGTGCCAAAAAAAAGAAACGCATCATATGCCAATAAAGGTACTTAGTCATTTGAAAGCTAAATTATCACTTAAACACATCAAAACCCATTAAAGAGTAAACATATAAAAGTATTCACTTTCTAGTTAGTTCAACAAAAATTCAGCCATTTCACATATCAGATTCCAAAACATGTATATGTATTCATCCATTCAAATACCAAAACATGAGTTGGGGCAATTACTAAGTGAGTTCACAACAGTGCATTCATCCATTCAAAATTTTTTCCCTTCAATTTCTAGTTAGTTCAACCAAAATTCAACTATTTCACATATCAGATTTGAAAAACATGTACAAGTATGCATTCATTCAAATACCAAAACATGAGTTGGGGCAATTACTAAGTGAGTTCACAACAATGCATTCATCCATTCAAAAATTTTTCCCCTTCAACAAATTTGAATTAGATGTACAAGAGAATCCCTTCCTAAACAAACTTTTATCTTCTTCCTGGTTTTTCATTTGGTTGGATTCAAAGGTTACATTGGTGGTTCAGGCATTAAACTGAACAACTAGTTTTATTCTCAGGAGGCCAAATATGTCAGCACTGCAACCTTGGTGGTTCAGGCATTAAACCAAACACCTGGTGTTGTGTACACCACAAATAACACTATGAACCAATGTGTTTCTTTGAGCTACACACATGTGGAACCCATGTGGTTATTGTAGCAAACACATGGATTGCCACATGTAATCCTTTGAAATACTGATGAACTGGTTGGTTCCCATAACCCTAGGCACTTTACCAGAACCAAAAAAGGAGGTTTGAAAGGGTCAATGATAGGTACCCATGTCTATGAAATGGTCCCCCCAGCACTGACCTACAAAACGAAACACGTCAGAAAAAAAGGTGTACAAGAATCTCTGTACATATCTTATTGTTCGAAGATTACGAGAAGAAATATATTTGATTTCCGTTGATCTCATTGCAAGAAAAATATAAAAAAAAAATCCATGTAAGATAAGAAAAAGACACAAAACTCATATTTAACTAAACTGGGTTTAGGGTTTACCGCCATTAAAACTCGTTTTAGGGTTTAAATAACATCACAAACTATCAAAATATGAGATTCAACACAAGACAAATGTAAAAAACCTAGTATTTCTCACTGTATTCCTGTCAGACCGAGGTTAAAGTGATGTATGTTGCAGGTGACGCTAATGCTCTTTGCCCAAGGTTTCCTCTTCGCATCTTGTGTTAAGTATATGGGCAAAATAGTAATTTACAATTTCGTGCCCTTTCTTACTATAAGGGCAAAATAGACTTTTTGTATTCCTCAATTATGATTTAATGGTGACGACAGTTGTCAGGAATAATAGAAGCACTTTAAGACAATACTGAAACAATAGGAGTAGAGTTGGTCAATTTCATAAACATTTGGGGTAGTTCAAGAAATTTGGTCTAATTTAATGTCTATATTTAAGTATGGATGTTATTTGGGCTTTTTAATTGGATTAAGCACGATAAAATGACTCAAACAATATTACAAACTGAACCAAATTGCAATAGAAGAATTTAATCTAATTTGCAGGGTGTTTGATATGGCTTTCGTTTATTTGATAAACGGTGCAATATCATTACCAAATCAGCATTTGTCCCCTCATAGAGTTTCGTATGCATAATATGAAAAACTTTTGGTCTTGATTTACATGCATGCCAACCATACTTCATTTTAATACTTCTCCCAATTGTTAAACATTTATTTACTGTTACATTGATCAGCCCTAATGATATCTTTGTGGTGTCTAATACAAACATTTATTTAATAAACAGAAGCCATGTCCAAACATATACATTTCCACATAATCGTTGAATTGTTCCAATGGAACAAGACAGTATTTGAAGAGTCAGAAATTTTGATGGGGGGATCAAGAATGGAAAATCAATCCCCCTTAGTTTGAGAGTTTCTCAAACCGTAATATCTTCACCAAAACAAACCAAACCGGACCGTGTACTGACATTAGACCTATTCATGGGCCGGGCCGGGCTAGGCTTTGACTCTTTATTAACAGAAAAATGTTAGGCCCGAGCCCGAGCCCGGCCCGACCAACGGGCCTACAACTTGGGCTCGAGCCCGGCCCTGATAAAAAGCCCGAAGCCCGAGCCCAAGCCCGAAGCCCGACCTAATAAAAGAAATTCAAAATTTTCCCTATTCAAATAGACATTATCTATTTTAATTCAGATGTTTTCTCCCCTATTTAAATGAACAATGGGCCTACAAGTGAATCAACAACCTTCTCAAATCAAAAAAATTATTCAAATGGACATCACATAGGGTTTTTACTTAGGTTTAACTATAGGTCGGGCCGGGTTTACTTAGGTTTAACTATAGGTCGGGTCGGGCTATTTTGGCAAAGCCCAAGCCTGACTCAAATTTTATACGGGCCAGGCTTTTTGGCCCGATGTTAAGCTTGTGGGCCAAAAAGCCTGTTCAAGCCCGTCCAGGGGTGGGGCCGGCCCGTCGGGCCACCCGGCCCATGAACAGGTCTAACTGACACTCAGGCACTCCGGACTCAGCCTTGGGTGCACAAAAGCCTTTGTCTTCGTTCGTGGCTCCGTCGCCCTAGAGAAACCAGGAATCTTCTTATTTGTTGCCGCTCAGTCTCACTGCTTCAGCAGCCAATCGGTGACTGTGGCTGGGTTTTAATTGAAACAATTTACTTGTTTAGGTTACACGAACAACCCTAAATAAATCCTCTCTCTCTCTCTCTCTCTCTCTCAAAACTAGAAGCCATTTTCCAAAGTCGCCACTTGCTACCTCAATCCTAATTACCAGCAGCCACTGAACATTTTACTAAGATGCCATTTGTATCCCTTCTCTCTTTTCTTTTCTTTCCTTCTCAAACTAAATCGCTATTCTTGGAAGTAACCCTTCTTCGGTGGGGTTTTTGGTTTCAACTTTGTTTGAAAGTTTGAATAACAAAACCTCTACCTCTTTCTCTGTCAAATACTCGCCGTTAATGTGTAAATCCCTCCCTCAAGTCTGCAAGTAGTTAACCAATTTGCGTCCTTTCTCTCTTTCATTCTCCGACTGGAACTGAGGATAGGTCATTCACTTGGAAGTATATGATATTGGAAATCCAAATAAAGCTTTGTCATTCGTTCGTTGACAAGGTTTTCTAGTACCATTTGAGATGCAGATTACTGGTTTCCCTCTCAAGGATATAGAGCTTTAACAAACAATGGTAGTGTGTTTCGTGTAAACCAAAGCAAGAAAAAAAAAACAAATTTTGATTTTTTTTACGTCCATGAGGTCATTACCGTTTATAAACTGTGAAATTTGAATAACTTTTAATGCTAACGTGCTCTGGTCTGAGACATCATCAGAACAAAATAGATGATTTGCAGAAACCTGATTTCTTCTACTGCGCCAAGTCGGAATATCTTCCTCAACCTAATCGGCAAGGCCTCCACCATCAACCAATTCAACCAAATCCATGCACAGGTCATCCTCAACGGTCTCCATAACGACCTCATAACTGTAACCAAGCTCACCCAGAAACTCGCTGACTTTGGCGCTATCGACCAAGCCCACCTCCTCTTCTCCACCATTTCAGAGCCCGACCTGTTTTTATTCAATGTCCTCATCAGAGGGTTCTCTCTCAATAGCTCCTCTTCCTCTGCTATTTCTCTCTATTCCCATCTCCGGCGGAACACCTCCCTCAAGCCCGATAATTTCACCTACGCCTTTGCGATTTCCGCGTCGTCTTCGCTTGGTTCTAAGGAAACTGGCCGGATCCTTCATGGTCATTCCATCGTTGATGGGTTTGAATTCGATCTGTTTGTGGGTTCTGCTGTTACTGACTTCTATATCAAGTTCTCCCAAGTTCAGACGGCGCAAAGAGTATTTGATAGGATCCCTGATCCGGACACTGTCGCTTGGAACACCTTGATATCTGGGTTGGTTCGGAATTGTTGTTTTGATGAATCAATAGAAGTGTTTGAGAATATGTTACTGAGGGGAACCCCATTTGATTCGACCACGTTGGCTGCTGTTCTTCCGGCATATGCTGAGCTGCAAGAATTGAAAATAGGGATGAAGATACAGTCTCTGGCAATGAAGACAGGCTTCCATTCCCATGCTCATGTTCTCACAGGTTTGGTATCTTTGTATTCTAAATGCGGTGAGGTATCTACTGCGACATTCCTGTTTGAACAAATTGGCCAACCAGATTTGATTTCTTGGAATGCAATGATATCTGGGTACACTTTCAATGGCAAGACCGAGTCGGCAGTGAGTCTCGTTAGGGAATTGCTCATATCTGGGGAGAAAGCTAATTCTAGCACAATTGTAGGTTTGATCCCCGTGTTCTCTCCCATTGGTCATCTTGATCTTACTCGTTCCATTCATGGACTTGCTATAAAATCTGGTGTCGATTTAAATGCTTCTGTTTCTACTGCCCTCACAACTGTTTATAATAGATTGAATGAAGTTGAATCTGCAAAGCAACTTTTTGATGAGACTCCAGAGAAAAGCCTGGCATCTTGGAATGCCATGATATCTGGTTATGCTCAAAACGGGCTGACAGAGATGGCAATTTCTCTTTTCCAACAAATGCAGATGTTGAATGTCCACCCAAATCCTGTTACTGTTACAAGCATTCTTTCAGCTTGTGCTCAACTTGGAGCTCTCTCCCTCGGGAAATGGGTCCATGAGTTAATAATTAGGGAGAATTTTGAGTTTAATGTTTATGTATCAACAGCTCTGATTGATATGTATGCTAAATGTGGGAGAATCAGAGAAGCACAATTTATATTCAACAATATGCAGGAAAAGAATGTTGTTACTTGGAACACTATGATTGCTGCATTTGGACTCCATGGGCAGGGAAATGAAGCACTAAGGCTCTTCTCTGAGATGTTGAATGCTGGGGTATCCCCTACTGGAGTTACATTCCTTTCAGTTTTGCATGCTTGCAGTCATGCTGGATTGGTGAGTGAAGGAGATATGATCTTTAAATCAATGATCCATGATCATGGAGTTGAGCCAGGACAGGAGCATTATGCCTGCATGGTTGACCTTCTAGGTCGTGCTGGGCAGTTGGACAAGGCTTTAGAGTTTATAAAGACAATGTCTGTTGAGCCAGGTCCTGGAGTGTGGGGTGCACTGCTTGGCGGTTGCATGATACACAAGGAAACAGACCTAGCTCGCATGGCTTCTGATAAGTTGTTTGAATTGGACCCAGACAATGTTGGGTACTATGTTCTTCTCTCTAATATATACTCGGCTGAGAGGAACTATCCAGAGGCTGCTGTAGTTCGTCGGGTAGCTAAGAAGCGGAAGCTGACAAAGACACCTGGGTGCACCCTCATTGAGGTTGGCGAGACTATACATGTCTTTACAGCTGGTGATGTGTTCCATCCACAATCAGAGGCAATCTATGCGATGTTAGAGAAGTTAACAGGAAAAATGAGGGAGGCTGGATTTAGAACTGAGACTGATATGGCATTACATGATGTTGAGGAGGAAGAGAGGGAGCAGATGGTGAAGGTTCATAGTGAGAAATTGGCTATTGCTTTTGGACTCATTAGTTCTGAACCAGGGACTGAGATCAGGATTATCAAGAACCTGAGGGTTTGTTTAGATTGTCATAATGCAACCAAGTTCATTTCCAAGATTACTCAGAGATTAATTGTAGTTAGGGATGCTAACAGATTCCATCATTTTAAAGATGGAATCTGTTCTTGTGGAGACTATTGGTGATTCACAGATAGGGTGTAGCACCATGTCTGTTCACCTTGTTTTATGCTTAATTTATTTTAATCAATAGATAAAACATAAACTCAAGATCATTCCCTGCAAGTTAAGGTTTGAAATAATTGAAAGTTACAACCACAAAACATCATCATTTTGCACTTTTAGCTACTCCTATAAAGATTACATTCTTTCTCTCTCTCTGCTATGTCTTCTCCTCCCTCCCCCTCTATCTATCTATCTATCCCTGCCCCCTCTCGTCTTGTTGTTTTTGTTAGGGTTTTGTAGGTTTTCATTACAAGGGCTGCCGTTTCAGCCACTCTGCTGTTGGTTTGTGCTGGTTGTTTGGGTTTTGCTTTCTTGGGCTGCCCCTCTCTACTCAGTTCTCAGTTTTACCATCAGGAACCCTCTCTCGGACTGTCAGGGTTAGGGTTTCTCTTTGAGTGTTTTTCCCTTTGAGGGTTCTCTCCCCTACCATCTCTCTCTTCTCAGTTCAGGTATTCAACGTCCCCCTCTTTTCTTCTTCTCAGTCGATCAAGGTTTCTGGGTTATCTGGGTCTTTGTTAATATTTGTATCTTGTTACAGATCTGAAGTAATAGATTTTGGCTAGATTCTTTTTGATTTTTCTTCTTCATTTTAGTTTATTCTCCTGAAGTGATGTTTTGATTTCTTTGGGTTCTTAGGTTTTTCACTTCAAAACCGGTACTGCAAGCTATTATTTAGGTAAACCTACTTCTCCCAGTTCCTTCATAGCTTCTCCTTTGGTAGGATTTGTTTTATTATTTCCTAGTTTTCTTCATTGGTAGGAGAGAGGACGCATATCTGAGTGGAAATGAAGCTTCATTTCTTGAATCTTTTGTTTGTGGCTTTGTGTTATTCGTTTGATTAGGGAATTGGGTTCTGTTTTTCCCTTTATTTGTTGTTCTATTATACTTTTTGGTTTGTTGTTTCCCTCTTTGATTTGTAACAGGTTTGGTGAGCTGTTCATGCGTTACGGAACAAGTTTGAGGGTTTCTGTGAATAACTTGTGGAAGGTTTCAGTAAGGCTGTGCAAAGTCTTTTCCAAAAGTCCAAGGTGAGCATTTGAGTTTAAACCATCTTATCCTTTTACTAAGTTGTGGTTATGGAGGTTGATAAACTCATATATTATTTATTTTCATCAGCTTCTTCTTTGGCATGTTTACAAGGTTGGAGTTAAATAACAGCACTATATTTGTGCTATTTTAATTAATAAATTGCTTTTGAAGTTTTGAAGTTGTTCATTTTTCTATGTATGGTTTTCATTCTTCTTTTGCAGGTTAGTTGTTGGACAGAGATTCTCTGGTTAGGAGAATTGAGGTGTCATAGGCAATTTAGGTTTTGGGGAGGGCTACTCCGGTTTCTTGATTTCAGATTTAATGTCAATTGAAGTTAGGCTTCTCTTCATCATTTCTTACCCATTAGTAAGTATTTCTTTTCCCTTTGTGTACTCTATCTATGTTTTCGAAGTAATAAGTTCATAGGATTCTGGGGTCATTGCTTAGTGTGATGGTAAGATCTTGGAGTGACAAGCATGTAAAGACAGATTCAAGTCTGAGTGTGGCCAGTGGCCACATCACACTAAAAATGCTGCAGCTAAGTTCTGTATCCTGTTCACCCCACCCAGCCAGTACCCTGGATAGCTAGGACAACATTTGTTGGTGACCTTTAACAAATTAATAGAATTTTGTTTGTCATACTTTCATCCTAACAGAAAAAATACCTAAAGAAAGTTTAAGCACATAAAAAAACAAAAAAACAACGGCCATCCAAAGTGTCTTTCTTTTATATTCTCTATCTTCTTATTTATCATTAATAAAGATTTCTTTTGCTATCAATAAAAGTTAAAAATCAAACTTGAGGATAGGCCTAGGACCATACGACCAAATTATGGATAATGTTATGTTAATCCGATGGTTGTATTTGAAAATATGGTGATTTGTAGTTGCTGCTTGAAAATAATAGATTGATACGTTTACTGGATTTCTGAAACCAACTATTCTCCTTCAAAGGGCATTCCCCACTATTTGATGGAGCAGAAGATCTACCATTTGTAAACACAACTTTTTTTTCCTACTGATCTTAAGCTGATCAAACATCTGATGGGTTTCCTGTCCTGTTTGCAGAATTTTGGACTTCTCCCACCTTGAATCTTTTTAGTTTTCTCTTCTTTTAATTACCCATCTTGAGTTACACCAATAGAATATCTTTTGATGTAATACATGCTAAGAGAGCAGTTTTGTTGAATGAGAATTCGAGGAAGGTCCAGCAGTAATATAGAAGGTTTAACTACGGTTTTCTAGTAGTCTTGCTAGAATGTAGAGAGATAGCGAAATCCATGTCTATATTGTAAAAAAACACATTCAATTAAGACTTGCCGAAGTGTATATTGAAGCTTTCTACATTGAGCCTTGATCACTCATCCTTGAGGGGGATTGTGTGTGTGTTGAGAAAGTGGTAAAGTATTAATTTTGACAAAAAAGTACAAGTAAATGTCAAATATGCTCCATGTACAGCCAGTAAACTATACAGAGAAGCCACCCCAAAAAAATTGTCTCTCAAAACAAAATACAAAACTAATCAGACTGTGACACTAATTGAAAAGGGTGCTATGCGCAAAAAACTGATGATGTGGCATGTTTTTGAACAAGTTGTTGGCAGATAACTAAGGATGCAAAGTAGCCACAGCCCTAGCCACCACATCATCTAAGGGGGTGAACTTTCCCTCAAAGATTCTCCTGTTCTTTTCTTTCCATAGAACCCAGCATACAACATGATGAATGGCACTCCAAAGCACCATACTCCTACTCAAGCCCACCAACTTCCAGGAAGAGAGCAGTTGAGGCAAAGAACTTGGCAAGCACTGTTTAACATTCAGCAAGGACCAGAACAAAATGCAGCCAAGCAATGTAAGAAGAGATGATCAGTGGATTCAACCTCCAACACATCACACAGGTCAGAGAGTCCAGCAGCAGTCCTCCCTTGTCTAGGTGAACCCTTGAGAGGCATTTACCATGAACTGTAGTCCAAGTCAAGAAGGACAACTTGGTTGGAACATGTGGGAGCCAGACCTCTTTCCATGGAAATCCCAGGGTACCACTAGTAAACAGCTTCTTGTAGAAAGGCTTCACAGAAAAACTTCCATCACTGGACCATTTCCAAGCTCTTGAGTCTTGCTGATTTGGATCTAAAGATTTAGACTGAAGTTGCTGAAGCAGATCTAACAGGTTTGAAAACTCCCAGTCATTGAGATGTCTCCTGAATTTGGGATACCAAGTCCTTGAGCTCTCAAACCAATCAAACTGATGTGCCACCAGCACATCCTGTCCTCAGCTAAAAGAAATAGAGAGGGAAAGACCTCTATCAATGCTGAATCATTACACCAAGGGTCTTGCCAGAAGCAGATCCTCCTACCATCCCCAACTTTTAGCCTCACCCCTCGAATGAAATTATAATAAAATTCCTCAATTTCCTTCCAGACTGAGCAACCAAAGGATGAAGAGGCCCATGGGTTCCAGCCACTGTTCTTGGTACCATATTTTTTCCACAATTAGCTGCCTCGACAAGCTCTGAGGCTGGAAGTTAAAAAGCCAGAACCACCTACACAGAAGGGCAATATTGACTTGTTTTATGATTCTCACACCTAGGCCCCCTTCAGCCAAAGGTTTACATATAGTATCCCAATTCACCTAATGGATCTTTTTCTCACCCTCCTTTCCACACCAAAGGAAATCCCTTTCTAACTTCTCCAATCTCTCTGCCACATTGGTAGGGATTGGGAACAAAGATAAAAAAAAAAATGCATGGGCAGGTTTTCTAGTAAGCTTTTTAACAAGTTAACTTAGCTCCCTTGGAGAGTTATCTAGATTTCTAGCCCTCCTGTCTCTTCCCCAGCCTTTCAGCCACCGAATCCCAAATGGATTTAGAGTAGCATTTTGCACCAACTGACAAACCTAGGAAACTAAAAGGAAGGTTCCCAACTTTACACCTGAGCTCTAGAGCAAGCTCCTGGATATCACTAACCTCTCCTATTGGGAAAATTTTACTTTTTTGAAAATTAACCTGTAGCCTTGAAACCACTTCAAATCAAACCAGAAGATTGCTCAATTGCTCCTTTGTCTAAGCAAAAAATAATGTGTCATCCGCATATTGAAGCAAGGGAACCTCTATTCCACCCAAAGACACTTGGAAACCTTCAATTCAATGCACCTTGTATCCATAACTCTTCTAGTCAACCTAGCCAGAGCCTCCACCATGCAAATGAATAATAATGGGGAGAGAGGGTCTCCTTGTCGGAGACCCCTAGAGCTCTTCAAAAAGCCAAGGGAGGACCCATTGACCATAATGGAGAATTTAGTTGTGGAAATGCACACTCTGACCCAATTCATCCACCTCTGCCCAAAATTCGTATTTTGTAGCATAGAGTCAAGGAACTTCCAGTTAGCATTGTCGTAGACCTTCTCTAGATGTACCTTACATATAACCCCCTTGCTACTAACCCTCAACATTGAATCAACCAGTTTGTTGACAACTAAAACACCTTCTAACATCAACCTTCCTAGCAGAAAATCACCTTGTGACAATGAGATGGCATTAGGAAAGCACCTTCTTCAATTTGTTTGCAAGTGTTTTAACTAGACTTTTGTAAAAACAGCCAACTAGGCTTATGGGTCTATAGAAACAGCCAACATACCCAGACTTTCTGCTCATAACCAACCTTAGTCGACAGCTCATATGACAAGTACCCAGCACAGGCACTCTATCTATTGAGAAGAAGCTTGTTATCTCTCAAACACCATGGCAAACTGCATAGAATGCAATCCACTTCCTTCTTAGAAGGGGCTATGAACAAAAACAAACCATTCACTAATTTCTTAACCTTCACCTCCCCTGCTGAACCCCAGGCTTCCTGCACCCAATTCTCCATTGTAGAGATATCAGGTACAGAAGCCGCAAATCTACCCACTAGACAACCCTCTAGGAACTTCCGTCAAAGGTCTACACCTTTCTCTGCTGTCTGGTCTCAGTGACCTCTTTAAACAAGACCCCCTCTCTCCGTTTCACATCGATACCACCCAACCATTGTCAGTCAAGTTTCTGTCAGTCAGTCACCTCTTCCATCGCCTCGATTCAGGTATTGGATATCAACATATATATTTCCTGTTTCAACTTATATTTTGGGAATACTGAGTACTTGTATAATTTTGTCTTATTTTCTTCATTTATCATCATTCAAAATTGTAAACTTGGTAGTTGTCACAAGACATGTTATTGTATCATTCTCATGTTCTCTTAGTTTTGGTGCTTTCCTGTTTTTTCTTACTCTTTTATCGATCATTAAAGAGAAACTTAATTGACAGTTAAATGGAGGAATAGCCTCTGACGAGTTGCACTATGGGAAGATTTTGATTTGCTTATAGGGGTTGTAATGGATCATTCGGGGCATGTTTGGCCTGGGTTGGTAAATACCCAATTTAATATTTTCTGATTGTCAGTTTGGTTAGTATATGCCATATGACATTCAACCCATTTAAATCAAGAGAATGGTTGTTCAAGTCTCAATTGTTGCCATTCATACTGTTATTGTGAGCTTGAGAGCTGTATTCAAAGTAGAGGAGAGGAGAAGAACACCACTGATATGCTGTGAATGTCAACTGAACTGCCCAGTCGACCATGCTATTATTTATATTTGAATGTAGTACAATGATACAAGTAATTATTGGAATGCCC